GGGCTGGGCTACATGTATGGGTGAGTGGGCTGGGCTGGGCTACATGTATGGGTGAGTGGGCTGGGCTGGGCTACATGTATGGGTGAGTGGGCTGGGCTGGGCTACATGTATGGGTGAGCATGCTGGGCTGGGCTACATGTATGGGTGAGTGGGCTGGGCTGGGCTACATGTATGGGTGAGTGGGCTGGGCTGGGCTACATGTATGGGTGAGTGGGCTGGGCTGGGCTACATGTATGGGTGAGTGGGCTGGGCTGGGCTACATGTATGGGTGAGTGGGCTGGGCTGGGCTACATGTATGGGTGAGTGGGCTGGGCTGGGCTACATGTATGGGTGAGCATGCTGGGCTGGGCTACATGTATGGGTGAGTGGGCTGGGCTGGGCTACATGTATGGGTGAGTGGGCTGGGCTGGGCTACATGTATGGGTGAGTGGGCTGGGCTGGGCTACATGTATGGGTGAGTGGGCTGGGCTGGGCTACATGTATGGGTGAGTGGGCTGGGCTGGGCTACATGTATGGGTGAGTGGGCTGGGCTGGGCTACATGTATGGGTGAGTGGGCTGGGCTGGGCTACATGTATGGGTGAGTGGGCTGGGCTGGGCTACATGTATGGGTGAGTGGGCTGGGCTGGGCTACATGTATGGGTGAGTGGGCTGGGCTGGGCTACATGTATGGGTGAGTGGGCTGGGCTGGGCTACATGTATGGGTGAGTGGGCTGGGCTGGGCTACATGTATGGGTGAGCATGCTGGGCTGGGCTACATGTATGGGTGAATGGGCTGGGCTGGGCTACATGTATGGGTGAGTGGGCTGGGCTGGGCTACATGTATGGGTGAGTGGGCTGGGCTGGGCTACATGTATGGGTGAGTGGGCTGGGCTGGGCTACATGTATGGGTGAGTGGGCTGGGCTGGGCTACATGTATGGGTGAGTGGGCTGGGCTGGGCTACATGTATGGGTGAGTGGGCTGGGCTGGGCTACATGTATGGGTGAGTGGGCTGGGCTGGGCTACATGTATGGGTGAGTGGGCTGGGCTGGGCTACATGTATGGGTGAGTGGGCTGGGCTGGGCTACATGTATGGGTGAGTGGGCTGGGCTGGGCTACATGTATGGGTGAGTGGGCTGGGCTGGGCTACATGTATGGGTGAGTGGGCTGGGCTGGGCTACATGTATGGGTGAGTGGGCTGGGCTGGGCTACATGTATGGGTGAGTGGGCTGGGCTGGGCTACATGTATGGGTGAGTGGGCTGGGCTGGGCTACATGTATGGGTGAGCATGCTGGGCTGGGCTACATGTATGGGTGAGCATGCTGGGCTGGGCTACATGTATGGGTGAGCATGCTGGGCTATGCTAGTCTCTCCTCGTCGCCTCCATAGCCTCCCGCCAGCCCCACATCTCCAACCACCCGCTCTCCGACCCACAATCGTCCGGCACTCCGCTGGGGCACCCGACCCTTCACTCCTTCCTCTCCGTGCGTGTTTTCATGGGTACGTATGTGTGATGGGCTATGCATGCATGCACTGGTGTCAGTCCCATTTCCTCGGGCACACCCCCGGGGCACCCGACCCTTCACTCCTTCCTCCCCGTGCCTGTCTTCATGGGTGAGTGGGCTGGGTTGTCTCTGTAGTTGTGTGTGCTGGCCTATGTGTGTAGGTGAGCGTGCAGTGCATGCAAGCATGCATGCACTGGTGTCAGTCCATCTCTCCTCAGCTCCTCCATCTCCTCCCGCCAGCCTCACGTATCCAACCATCTGCTCTCTGACCCGCAGTCCTCTGGCACTCCTCGCGGGTGTCCAACCCTTCACTCCTTCCTCTCCCTGCGTGGGCTGGGTTGTGTGTTCTTGTGCAAGTTGGTGTGTTCTTGTGCAAGTTCGTGTGTTCTTTTTTGTGCCTTCTTCGTTTCCTCCTTTTTTATTTCTCCTCCCCCGCTTCTCCCTTTCTTCCTCCCCTTCTCCTTATCCCCCTCCTTTTCTCCCTTTCCTCCTCTCATAATACAGGCACCGAGCTAGTGGGCGTGTGGATGGTTGCGAACAAGGAGGGAGGTTATAACGAGGATATAATGCAGATAGCAGAGCCACTATCAGCAACGCTGGGGCAGATTCTGTTTGGCATCAGCAAGAGGAAGCGAAGAATGGAGGCCAAGAGCAAGCTATATGAAGGCCGAGTGCCGGTGAGTGGGAACCTGGTGTTTGATTTTTTAAATGTTTTATTAGACATCAGCAAGAATAAGAGAAGAACGGAGGCCAAGAGCAAGCTCTATGAGGGGTGCGTGCCTGTAAGTTCGAAAAGGTTCAAGCAAAGATGATGAGCTGTTAATCACCTAGACATGCTGGGGCAAATCCTGTTTGGCACCAGCAAGAGGAAGAGAAGAGAAGAATGGATGGAGGTCGGCTGCCGGTTCAAGAGCAAGCTCTATGAGCGTGCCTGTGAGTGGAATTTGGTGTGCTGGTTGGCATGGCAGCATGGCGTTTTCTAGCAAGAGGGGTATTACAACTTTTTGACCTTTGAGTCGACTCAAAAGTCACCTCGAGGGGTATTACGACTTTTTGACCTTTGAGTCGACTCAAAAGTCACCTCGAGTGGTATTACAACTTTTTAGTCTCGACTTTTAGTCCCCTCTACGACTTTAGTTCTTTTGCTGTTGATAAACACCTTCTTAACCGTTCTTTTAACATCCCCACTCCCCCCTACCCTGCTGGTATGATTCTTCTCTTCTCTCACTCTGCTCTCCTCGTCATCTCCCTCCTCTTTCTCGCTTTTCTTTTGTTCATTTCTACACCCAATCCCCGTTGCAGGCCGCTGGAGAGTCCCGTCTGGTGGTGGACGCCTTGGGTACAGTCATAGCGTGCAACAGGGAAGCTAGCAAGCTGTTTTGCATGCCCATACTCGCACCGCCGCCAACAGCAGCACCAGCAACAGCACCACCAGCAGCAGCTGGGGTGGCAACAGCAGCAGCAGCAGCTGCTGCCGACGAGGCTGTGTATCCTCCGGCAGAGCAGATCGTGTTCCCTGATCTGTTTTACAACATCAACTGCAGAGAGGACTTCATGTTGCTCGGTACGTTCTGGTGCTGCTAGATACATTGCGGTTCTGCTCGGTACGTTGCGGTGCTGCTCGATACATTGTGGTGCTGCGTACTCTCTTGCCCCTCTCCTCCGATTTCTGCCTGAATTTGATCCCAGGCGTGGGCACACATCTAGACAAGTCCTGCTGATCCATGACACACCAGCGCACTCACTATTCCTGCATACACACATCACTACCGTCTCTCATCTCACTCGCCTTCACCACCCCAACACCCCTCTCTCGCTCCCACGGTCCAGGAGTTGATGCAGATCTGGACAAGTCCTGCTAGTCAACTGAACGCCAGCGCATTCCCTGCCTGCTCCCCGCACCCTCTCCTCATTCCACTCTTCCTCTCCAACCTCCAACTTTCCCCTCCATGATCCAGGAGTTGACGCTCACCTGGACAAGTCCTGTTGGTCCATGGCACGTCAGTGCATTCCCTGCCCCTCACACACTTCACTCAACCTCCTCACCCCTCCCTCTCCCCCTCCCATACTCCAGGAGTTGACGCTCATCTGGACAAGTCCTGCTGGTCCATGGCACGCCAGCGCACCGGCAAGACCATTCTGGCCCTCGTGCGCATAACCAAGCAGAACCTGCCCACGGGTGCTGCTTTCATTTGCTCAGTGTGGGAGATGATTCCACCTGAGTATGCAAAGCTGCTCCGAGGAACCCAGTGATTCCCAAGTGTACTTCCAGAAGTCACCCCCTCCCCACGGGCGCTGCTTTCATCTGCTTGGTCTGGGAGATGATTCCGCCCGAGTATGCCAAGCTGCTCCGAGGAAACCAGTGATTTTCGAGTGTACTCTTAAAAGACACCCCCTTCCCACGAGTGCTGCTTTCATCTGCTCAGTGTGGGAGATGGTTCCTCCTGATTATACCAAGCTGCTTCGTCCAAACCCGTATTTGCGATTTTCGTGTTTACTACTCAGTTTGGGGGAAGTCACCTCTTGCTGGTGCTGCATTTATCGCCTCGGTGTGGGAAATGATTCCGTCCGAGCAACCTGCAAAGCAAGTATGCAATGCAAAGCAAGCTGCTCCAAGCAACCCCGTGATTCTCGAGTCTACCCAAATGTCGCCTCTGCGCTGGTGCTGCTTTCATGGCCTCCGCCTCTGCGCTGGTGCTGCTTTCATGGCCTCTGCTTTCCATACTGTAGCGGGTTTAGCCTTTTTGCTTTCTTCCTCGTGGGCTCGTGTTGCTAGATGGGATATTGTCTCGTTACTTTTGACTGCTGGGGTTGGCTTAACTGAAACTGCCTGGGGTTTCCTTTTTTGCAGCCGCAATTATCTGCTGTTCATGCTCTCCTTGTCTAGTACCGAAAGCCACTGTATAGTACTGGAAAATGTGTGGGTACCGTACTTCTGGGGTTTAATTTGGGGATACGGTATATAATATAGTGGTTACCCGACAGCCTTTAAGGTGTGTGTTGGGGATGCATGAGCGAGCAAGCAGGCTGGGTAGCTGTTGAACCTGTATGATGCAGTATGGTACGGTATGTATCGTACTGTATGCATTCTTACGAGTACAAACACTGCAGTTGAGTTGAAACAAATACTGGTACTGGTACTGGTACTGGTTACCGAGAGGGAGGATTGCAGAGGTATGGTAGGGTAGGGGAAGCCAGGGTGCCAGGCTTACTGGGGGGGGGGTGGGGAGAGAAGGGCGGTGGGGAGAGGGGTGTGAGAGAGGGAAGGGGTGCAGTAAATACCTTTACTCTGAGAACCTTGCTTTCCTGCTACCGGTATCATTGTAACCTGTGTCAGGACATTCCGCCCTGCTAGGTTTTTGCTGAGAGTACCTTCAGCCTTTTCAGCCTTTTTGCTCAACAATAACTAGCAAACGAAGCGGCTGAATGAACCAAGCATATGTGCTGTGTGTTTCCAGCATGGACAGTACACACCACCGCCACCCTTTCCAGGCAGCTCAGAAGCCCGACTAAGCTTCTACCGTAGCATGGACGGTGCAAGCTCGACCTGGAACCGCTTTTCAAACTCCTGGTCTGTGCACACAAGAAACTGACTCAAGCACACCGCCTTCCGTGCAAGCTCAAACTGGAATCGCTTCTCAAACTCTTGGTCTGTGCACACAAGAAACTGACTCAAGCACACCGCCTTCCTTCCCCGCTGCCAGTCTTCACCTCGCTGGGATAAACGGCCCACAGCCACAGCCCCTTCCACCCCCAACGCAGCATAGCTGTCTTGCGAAAGTTCCAAGGAAGTTTGATCCTCAGGCTTCCTAACCCCAAACTCATCTTTCCCATCCACATCCTCCCCTGCTGCTTGCTTCTCTTCTGCCCCCCTCCTCCCAACAAAAATGCCTTCCAAGTGCCCTCCCCCTTCACATTTTTTTGGTAGAGCTACCTCATGCGGCACGAACACATAGCCGTTGCTCAGCAGCGCCACATGTCGCGGTCTGATTCGCCGATCCAAGCTGTACCCAAGGAAGAAAGGGAGCGCAAGCACCTCCGTTATAGGCAGCCCCATGTCCCGTTTTAGGTACTCCACCTTGCGCCTCGTGTTGCTCTCCCAACTGTAGCAGATAGAACTCGGGAACTTAACCACCAGATTCGCTACAAGCTCACGAGCTGCGGTGGCACCAGCAGTGCCCTTAAAACCTCGTCTTTCTCCTGCTCTTGCTTCTGCACCACTCTCCCCTTGCTTCACACGCTTTCTTGCATCCTTTTCAGGCTCTTCAACAGGCAAACTTTCTCGTGCAAACCCATCAGCTCCGCCACCCTCCAATGCCTCTCCCACTTCTCGCACAAGCATCCGTGCACCTTCCTCGAGCGTTTGCCTCCCACTCTCCTCTCCTCCACTCTCCTCCAGAGCCTCTTCCACTTCTCGCACAAGCTCGCTAAAACCCCTTGTAAGGTTCTCTTCGTTAATCGCCAGCATCGAAGGATACTGTGCCACTGCAAGCACAGCGTTCTCTTGCCCAATCAGATCGCCCAACAACGCCACCTTGCCTTGCATGTTCTCTACTGATAGACGAAGAACCCCCGAATGGCTGCGCACCGCACTCGCTGCTGCCTTCTTCCCCACCAGTTCCTCTAAGTACTGGAGCTTAGCTAAGAGATTCTGTGAGGTGCGGGACATGAGAGTGGGGGCCCGGCAAAGAACAGGGATAGCAATGGAGGGGCTGCCAGGGGGAGTGAAGGACTGGAGGAGGCTGAGGATGGTTGCAATGCGCTCGGGAGACCTGAGGAGGATTCTTGGATGCAGCACCAAAAGTCTGCCCAGGTGCCCTCTGTTGACGCTTCCTTCTTCGTATCCGTTGGTAAGAAACGCTGATACTTGCTCGAGATGACTTCGTAAGGTTTCCTCCCTCATGCTGAGGACATCAGAACCTCTCTCTATAACCACACCCAGCTTGTCAACAGGGACACCTGCACTCTCCACCAGAATGTCCAGGTTTGTTAACGGAGTCCGCATGGTAATGAGATATGGCGACCTTCGGAGCACCGTACCTAGCTTGGTTCGGCGTACGCCCCGAGCCAAGAGAAAGTCAAGCATATCCCGAACCTGGAGAAGGGAGAATCGGAGCCAGGTACAATTTCTAGTGGTGATGACTGAGATGTCAGCACGGGATATGCCATACGACTGGAGGAGGTTGACACGTGGCAGAAGGTCGTTGGTGGGATCAGAACGAAGGAGCGCAGGGCGATAGGTGAGGAGGGAGGCGATAGTGGAAGGGGAGGAGATGCCGAGGTGGGAGGAGAAGAAGCGGTAGAGGGAGAGGAGGGAAGAGGGAGATACGACCCGCCGCCTCTTGAGTAGAGAAGGGGGCGTGGGAGGAGATGTGGCGGGTGTTCCGTCCTCATCACTCGCTCCTGCCTCTGCTTCTGTGTCTTCCCCCTCCTTCCATTCCTCATCCTCTTCCTCAACTTCTGAGCCCTCTGTTTCCTCATCCCCATACCCCACCTCTTCCTCTTCTTGCCGTTCCTTAGCCTCCTCCTCATCCGTAATCCTTCCGTTTGCTGACCCCCCCTCCTCCTCCTCCTCTATCATTATCTGAGGCCCAAATTTCTCTCTCAGCACTCCAGCAATCACCGCCACTGCCTTTTTCTCCTCCTCTATTACCTCGCATCCTCCCCTTCCTCCACCCTTCCTCCTGTCTCCCTCAACCTTTCCTTTCACTTTCCTTGCTCTCATATCACGTCTCGTACGCTCTCCTCTACCATCCGCCTCCTCCCTTCCCACTCTACTCTCGATCTCCTCTGATTCTCCTCCCTCGCCTTCTCCCTCCTCTCTTCCATCTGCACGCAACTGAGCCTTGGTCTCAACCGTCAGTACTGTCTTGCCATCGAAGCTCGGATCAAATCGCAATTTTGCGCCATGGTGTCGGTTTAGCCCAAACAGGTAGAGGCTCGACGGGGAAGGAATAGCAGCTTCGGATGTAATTCCAGGCTTCAATGAAAACGACTTGGAACGAGGAGTAGAAGACTGTGTCATGTATCTTAGCGAAAACAAAAATCTGTCAATCCGCGCGATGGATGGCCGTGACCTGGAGGTATGAAACGCCATAGCGATTAGCCGACGGATTCTACGGATTCAGGATAAAACTAATGAAAGATTACATAAACGAATTATACGGCTCAGTGCTTGTCCTACAACGAACTATCTGACGTGATTCCCTGAGCATCGTGCTGTGACTGTTAGAAATCTAACGAGCTGAAAAAGCGCTTCGTCTCCTTGGTTAGTCCATTTCTCTGGCTGCAATTTTCTCGCTCTCTTGTTGCAGATCCCAGAAAACACACGTGTCCTGGTTTTTGAGTCAACGAACAGGTGGCACTGAGATTACCGGGCTGCGACAATACTGGCTGGCGAATCCACCCATTCACATTTCACGATTGCATTGCGACACTGAAACGTCGCAAGCGGAGTTTCATGTGCTTTCACTAGCCCATTAGTTTCACACTTGCGAAGAGTCGTGTACGTACGCCAATCAAGCCCGTTCGTGCCGTTTCGAATTCGTACCCGTTAACAGAAATTGACGGAGCAAGCATATTAGAATGATACCGAAGTGTCAAATGTTATATTTGTGATAGGCTGTAGTGTGAAGCAAGGAAAACAGGAATGAAATGACTAAGGAAAGATCAGGTACAAATACAACCCTAGAAACCATGTACCCCATATGTGCTACCCCACTATAGCCTACAGCAACTATGTCATATAAATCTGACACACCCCCATAGGCAAAGTGGGGGAGAACAAGGGGTCACAAGACCAGTCAAGCAAAGCAAAGCAAGCTCAGGGTGGATCACAAAGTCACCACACAGTCCGAGCACAAGAGTAGGGCCAGAGGCCAGTTCACATACAGAAGTACAGACATATATATAAAACTAGACAAGCAAGAGCAGGCATATATATATGTCACAGTACAAGTGAAGTCAAAAGGAGAGCAAGTGAGGCAAGACAGGCACAAGACCCAGCTGGGTGCAAAAGCGCTGATGGTCACAAGGCGCGAGTGCCTTGGTGAACACATCAGCAGTGTTGGCCTCAGAGGCCACGTACGCAAGTCGCAACTGACCACGCTGCTGCAGCTCACGAGCAAGGAAGTAGCGGAGAGCAATGTGCTTCGTTCTGTGCTCCAAGCGCTGCTCTCGACACAAGGCCAGCATGGCCTTGTTGTCTACGTACAGCACTGGAGGAGAACGAGGCGGCTCTCCAAGGTCAGTCAGCAGGTAGGTGAGCCAGCGAAGCTCCTGTGCAGCCATGGCCCCGGCGTAGATCTCAGCCTCACAACTGGAGCCGAGAACGGAAGACGAGCGAGTAGACCGCCACGAGACAGAGCCGGAACCAAGGCTGAAGGTGTAACCCTGTGACGACCGCTGCGTAGCCTGGTCGTCAGCCCAAGAAGCGTCCGCGTGGCCGGTAAGGACCACTGGACTCCGCCCTCCAAGCACTAGCCCCATGCCCGACGTACTGCACAGGTAGCGCAATACCCTCTTCGCTGCAGCCATGTGCTCCGGTCTGTGTCTCCCAGGAGCAACATAGCGTGCAAGAATGCTCAGAGGGTATGCAAGGTCAGGTCGTGTGCAGGTCATCAGGTACATGAGGCAGCCAACAAGCTCTGCATACGGACCACTCGACTCTACGGACTCATCCGAAGGCAGAGCTGAGAGTGAGTGGCGAGTAGGCAGAGGAGTGGCCTGAGGCGAGGAGTACGTGAAGCCGAAGCGCTGAAGGACCTGCTGCACCATGTGTGACTGAGTCAAGGTAATGGTGCGGCGTGCTCTGTCCCGAGTGATCTGCAAGCCAAGGTAGCTGCGCAGTTCACCCAGGTCTGTGCACGTGTGTCTCTTCAGCAGCTCGGACTTCACGTAGGCGAGTCCAGCAGTGTCCGCTGTGGCAAAGACCAAGTCGTCGACGTACACGAGGATGTAGAACGGCGGCAGGGAAGTGTCGGTGCGAAGAAACAGCGACGGGTCAGCAGTAGAAGGAGCAAACCCAAGAGCCGCAAGCGTAGTCCTCAGTGTGTCGTGCCACTCACGCGGTGCCTGGCGGAGACCGTAGACTGGCCGTCGGAGGCTCCACTGGGTGCCACGAGGGAAAGTCCCAGTGAAGCCGGGTGGACGGCGAAGCCAGATCTCCTCGTGCAGGCTACCCTGCAAGAATGCAGTGCTGAAGTCGAGAGAGTGAAGCTCGTAGTCGCGCTGAGCGGCTATGTGCAGCAGCACCCGAAGAGTAGTCATCTTCGGGGTGGGAGAGAAGGTCTGAAAGTAGTCAACTCCCTGCCGCTGACTGAAGCCACGAGCAACGTACCGTGCCTTGAAGACAGGTGGAGAGCCCGGCGGCCGCTTCACCCTGAAGATCCACATGCCACTTACGATGTTCGCCCCAGGAGGGGGAACCGCGTCAACGTAGGTGCCTGTGGACTTCCAGGAAGCCATCTCTGCATCCATAGCTGCTTGCCACTGAGAGGAGTAGGGACCCTCTACGGCCTCCGCGTAAGAACGCGGAGTCGGGATGTCTAGTGCATCCGGGTCTCCCTCAGGGGCAAGCAGTACAGACGCGAGATGAGGTGAAGCAGCCGCTAGACACTGTAACTCCTCCTGCCTGTCCTCTAGGACGTCCGTGCCAAGAGCACACTCACCCCCGACGGACGGAGGACAGACAGACGCAGACTCAGCAACAAGACTAGCAGCGTAGTCGAGACGACAGCGAGCAGCAAAGTCGACGAGCTCAGCGACTAGAGCAGACGCAGCAGTGGACTCAAAAGAGGGGTCAGTGTTGACAGTAGCAAGCAGACGCGTGACAGTAGGACTGGCAGCACGAAGAGAGTCCGACTCCGGGTCGGCAAGCGCAGGAAGAGAGGACTCAGGAGGAGAAGGCAAAGGGGCACGCAGAGGAGCAGTGGATGGACGCAAAGACATCCGGTGCGTGCCAGGGACAGGAGGAGGACGCTGACGCGAACTGCGACCACTAGCGCGAGCAGCACGAACAGGCGACGCGGGACGAGACGCAGGCTCACGACGCTCAGCAAGACCTCCAGTAGGACCAGTGTAAGGAGAGGGAGCAGGCAGTGGAGAGGAAGGCTCCAGCAGGGACTGCGACTGGACAGGCGGTGGACCCTCTACTAGAGGAGAAAGACCAAGAACCTGCTGCAGGAGCGGAACGAAGTACGGCCGAGGCCGCGCGGCAGCTCCAGACTCAGCAGGGACAGCACCACCACCCTCAGCGACAGCACCAGCGCCACCCACACCTCCAGCGGCAGGACCAACAGCAGTAGGCTCAGCACCAACGCCCTCAGCATCTCCAGCTCCAGGAGGACCCGCAGGTCCAGCAGCTCCGGGACCGGCAGCACCCGCACCCTCGACGGTCGAAGAAGCTCCAGCTCCAGCTCCAGCAGCACCTCCAGACTCAGCAGCACGCCTCCAGCGGCGAGCGAACCACTCGCGCAGCTCCTGTGGAGAGAGGGGCTCCCGGTGAGACGCAGCAGCAGGAGAAACTCCAGGCTCAGCAGCTCCAGACGCAGCACCCCCAGGCTCAGCAGCTCCCGACCCAGCACCCCCAGACCCAGCACCTCCAGGCACAGCACCCCCAGGCTCAGCACCCCCAGGCTCCGCACCCTCCGCAGTAGCACCCTCAGGCCCAGCACCCCCAGCAGTAGCACCCCCAGGCTCAACACCCCCGCGCACAGCACCCCCAGAGTCAGCACCCCCAGGCTCAGCACCCGCAGCAGCACCAGAGTCACCAGTAACCTCGACCGGGTCAACGGCGTCTACCTGGGACACACCTGAGGGGGCAGGAACCTAAGGGGGGAGGGGGTCTACCGGGGGGGGAACTGGCACAAGGAAGTCCGGGGGAGGGGGGAGGGAAGGAGTGCGGTAGGGGAAGAGACGGTAGAAGGGAACTGACTCGTCGAACGTGACGTCCTGGGAGGACAGAACACGGCGAGAGGAGGGGTGGTAAAACTGCCACCCTGGGGCGTCAGTGGGGAAGCCAAGGAAGACACAGGGAGCAGCACGAGGGGACAGCTTGTCCGCAGACAAGTCGCGGACAAACGCCCGAGATCCCCAGACACGGAACACAGACGCATCGCCAACCTTCCCTGTCCACAGCAAGGCTGGGGACATCGCAGGCCGAGAGACCCGGGGGTGAAGGTTGAGCTGATGCGCCGCGTACCTCACCGCAAACGGCCACAGAAAATGGGGGGCAGCCGCATGCATCATGGACGTACGAGCGACATCCATGACCATGCCAATGCGGCGCTCAGCAATCCCATTTTGCTGTGGTGAGTCCGGAAGCGTGAAGGTCTGGCGAATCCCCCGTGCACGACAGTAGTCCCGCAGAAGGCGAGAAGAGAACTCTCCGCCTCTGTCCGAGTGCAGACGCAGAACAGGAAAGTCCGAGCCGAAGCTCTGCCTGAGCTGGAGACGAGCCTCGCGGATCCAGTCGATCAGCACCTCAGTGACCGCACCCTTGCTGCGCAAGGGGAGGACTGTGGTGTAACGCGAGTAGTCGTCAACCACCAACAGGAAGTAGCGCTCGTAACCCTGCCCACG